CAAAAAACAGCTGATCAGCTTTTTATCGGTTCAGTGCGGCAGCCATTTAAATTTAAATGAAGCCGCGATTATTTAAATCGCAGCTTCATTTCCCTTTGCAGAACAAACAAATCTACATGGCTCCGTCGACGGAGCCATGTAGTTTAGACGTACCCTTTGTGAAATATTGCCTTGTGTGCTTTTACCCTAGACTATACCAATTTCACCATTTCTTAAAGTGGGGGCCCAAACCCAAAGGGAATTTGCAGAAGGGTCGCAAGGTTATTGGGCGGGGGGGGTTGTGGTATCGCCCCCTTTACTTCTGTGCTGCTTTGAGAACTGGGCAGCTGGAGAGCGGTGGTGACTGGCAGAGTGCCCAGCTCTGAAGGGTAGCAATACCACACCCTGCCACCCCGATTTCTGCACGGCTGCCTTCGGAGCTGGGGGGCTGGAGAGCGGCATCTACTGACCGAGGACCCTGCTCGGCAGGCAGCAGTGCAGAAGTGAGGGTGGTGTTGCCATACCAAGCATCCTTACCTCTGCTGGTGGCAGCTCACAGCTGCCTTCAGAGCTGGTATCCCAGCCAGCAGCCGCTGCTGCCCAGCTCTGAACGTTGAGCCACCAGTAGCAGCACAGAAAGGTAGCAGTGCAGACCACAACCCTCCACCCCCTCATAACAAACACACCACCCCTCCCCTCACAGCTCCTCTTTGGGTCAGGACCCTACAATTACACCACCGTGACACTGCAGATTTAAATGGCTGAAATCGTGACATTTATTATTTTTAAATGCCTACAGTCATAACATTCACAGAAATGGACCATGCATTTGGTAGGGCCCTAATAAAGCATTGGACTTGATAATATGGTTCAGCTACTGCAGTTCTGTTCCGGGGGATTATTAAAATCCTGGGGATTATTCAAAAAAAGAGCTAGATAGATTCATGGAGGTTAGGTCCAATCAATGGCTCTTAGCCAGGATGGGTAGGAACGGTGTCCCTGGCCTGTTTGTCATAGGCTGGAAATGGACGACAGGAGAGGGATCATGTTCTGTTCCCTTTCTCTGGGGTATCTGGTATTGGCTACTGTGGGCAGACAGGACACTGGGCTAGATGGGCCTTTGGTCTGACCCCGTCTGGCCGTTCTGATGTTCTAAAGCAGAGTGGGTCTAGATGAGAGCTGGATAATAAATGGCCCGGAGGCAGTTCCCTGGGGTTTGCCCCTGAAGGCCACTGGTATTTTATTTACCTGCACATCCGCAGGTACAGCTCTTTGCAGCTCTCATTGGCTGCGGATTTCCGTTCCTGGCCAATGGGAGTTGCGAGAAGCGGCATGGACCAGGAAGCGTTTCCCGCAGTTCTCATTGGTCAGAACTGGTGAGCCGCGGCCAATGGGAGCTGCAAGATGATGTAGCCGCAGACGCGCAGGTAAATAAAGTGCCGGTGACTCACCGGGGGTTAATCCTGGTGAACCGCCCCGGCTTAATGCCCACCCCATCTTCTAGAGAGACACCCAAATACCGCTCTGTCCTCTGTTGATGTCCTAAGCTCAACCGCTCCCCAGAAAAAGAAGATAGCCATCTCTGGGCCATGTATTAAGAACAAAGCCAGGGTGCCCGCTGTGACGGCGCGTTGGGGTCCCCTGCCTCCTGCACCCCCGGAATGGCACGAACAGACTCCACCAGCCAGTAGAATAGAGGGGGTTTATTGCTTCTCCAGGATGCAGCACAGCACAGATGTCATCAGGTTACAGGGCAGGCCTAGGATGCCTCAGCCCCCCTTGATATGGGGAAGGGGGTCTCGGCTTCTAAACCCCCCAGCCTGTTGCTGAGGCTGCCTCCTCCATGCTCCCAGACAGAAACTAAACTAACTCTCCTCCAGCTCTGCCCCCCCAGCCAGGGGCGATATTCCACCTTCCTTTGTTTCTCTCCATGGGGGGTAGCTGGTCAGACAGGTTTGGAGCCCCCTTTGCATAATGACCAGACAGCAGAGGTCACCACAGCCCTAGCAAGGCACCCCCACTACGTCACACCCGCCATCGGGCAGCCGGAGGAACATGCTAATGGGCCGACTGAAAGAATATCTCCACTCATTCTGGGAGAGAGAAATCGATGGTTCTTAACAGCTGAGGTGACATGCAAGGAATGGCCCAGAACAGGCAGGGATGGCAGAGCCTTGTTCGGGCCCAGAGCAACGTCTGACAGAGCAGGGAGGTTTCGGCTAAAAGAAGGCGGATCAGCTACGGATCCCGCCGGGCTCTCACCTTCCAGCTCGTCTCCTCCTCTTTGTCCTCGGCGCCGTTGTGGATATAAACCACGTCGAAGAAGAAATAAGGACACTGCAGCATTTTCTGTAGAGACGGGGGAAAAAAAAGAAGGTTCCTTCTCATGGCAGAGTCCGGTGAGCAGACGCCACGGCAAAGCAGAGTCCCGGGGTAAACGGCGGCAGGGGAAAGGTGCCCAAACTGGAGGATGAGACCCTCAGGCACGGACCCACCCTGTTCTCACCCCCCTCTGGAGATGGGACCTTTACCCACTCGGGAGGAGGTTGGTGTCCTTGGCCCACGTGAATCTTTGGTTCCGTGCCCGACTGCTGCTAGCCGCAGGAGTGGCTTTTGACAGGCAGGATCTTGACACCTGCAGGAGTGTGAGGCCTGATTCACAAGGGTTCTTGATGCCAGCGAGGCGCAGGAGTGGCTTTTGACAGGCAGGATCTTGACAACTGTAGGAGTGTGTGGCCTGATTCACAAAGGTTCTTGATGCCAGCGAGGGGGCACAGCCAACGGACCACCACTGAGCAGTAACCGGGAAGGCTGCTTTCTGCCCGGGGCACCACAGACAGCCCGACAAGTCGGCAAACCTGGAAGCACCCACCTTCATCTGCTCGGTCATGGAGAACTGAGGCTGGCAGGCCGGCCGGCTATACACCAGGATGGTCCTGATCACATAGGGAGGCGGGATCGTCTGGACGTTTTCCGTCACGGGCAGCTCGATCTTCTGCTGTCTGGGCCGTTGAAGAGAACGAAAGGTCAGACACGCCAGCAACGTCACTCATGACGTCGTGGGGTTGGGCGGTTCTATAAGCACGTACGCAGCTGGGAGCGTGCTGGGGGGGCAAATGGCTACTGAATTTTGGCTCCAAAGGCAATTGCAGATCCCATGAAAACCACAGGGCGCCAATCCCCTGCTTTCAGGTTCTACAGAAAGAACGCGCAACATGCAATAAAAACAGCTGCAGGCAACGGGGCCAGCTGGCAGATCAGAGCTAAAGCCGCGTGGTCTGAGCGGTCCCCCGCGTGGCAGATAAGGGGCTAGGATATTGGTTGCAGCCTGTGTGTTTTGGATTCCAGCAAGAGGAATTCTGAGCACGACCTGGAGAAAAAGCAGAGATCGTTTCTTGGGCACATAGCTCGCTGGAGAGGCAGACCTGGGGAATCTCTCCACAAGGAAGCCGCCTGCTGCTGTTGGTTTCCATTGGATTCTGGGAAACGGGACGCTGGAGTTTGGTTTAAATAAGCAGCGTTGTGCCAAGAACGAGACCCGCTTTGTAGAACTGATTTCTCATCCCCATGGAAGCAACCCTCGCTGGCCCCAGCTAACCCCCCCAGAAAGGGGCCATGGAAGCATAAAAGCAACATCTGCTCCTTCCACAGAGCAGCAAACTTACATGAGACTGAAGAGGCCTTCGAGGTCTAGGTTCCGAGCGATAAGGACTGGTCGTTACACATACGCGGCCCTTCTAGATGCTATTTGGGGTTTTCAGCTGGTGAGCTCGGGGGGGGGGGTCCCTTGGCCTGGCACTTCGTTTGTACAGCACCTAGCATCACGGAGCCCGAGCTGGGCAAGACCTCCGGGAGCTACTGTGATAAGCAGTGGTATATTTCTGATGTCTCGCGCTCTATAGACAGACAGGGGTGAAGGGGCGCACAGACTATTCCCAACTAAAACACTGACTTTTCCATCTCTCCTAGGAGATCTGCTACCGTGGAAGGAGCGTGGCAGAACATTTATCCTCCCTGTAAGGCAGGGCAGGGCTCCTCGCTCCATGGTACAGGTGGGGAACTGAGGCACAAAGCGAGGGAGAGACCTGCCCACGCAGCTACGGCAGAGTGGAGAACAGAGCCCTGATTTCAGGGTCACACGACAGAGCACCCAGCACCGTCCTTCCTCCCTGGTGCATCAGGGCCCGCCGTGGCAGTCCCAGCTCAAGGCAGACCCCCGCCGAACTCAGCAGAGTCCCCACGTCCCCAACGGGCTCATCCCTAAGCTGCCACAGCACCCCCCGTTGTGTGTAAAGTTACAGACTAACCCGCCTCCCCCGTGAGACTCGTTCAGTCCAGGCAGCACTCACGGACGTGGAGCTCTGCTGCCATCATCTGGCGAGACAGCAGGTAACAGAGCTATCAAAGGATCCCCCAGATTAGCAGTGGGTCACTGCGGCCCATCGGGGTTTTTATGTGGCCCATGGGACATTTTACTTACTGTTCCCACACACAGAGTTGCCAGATTCCGCTGGTTTTTATCAGTGTCGTTTTTTTCCTACTGATGTTGCAAAATCGGGATGTTAAATGTCGGTTAACTGAATAGTCGATTAACCTCAGGAATTCTTATCGGTTACTTGATTCTCCGATTGGCCCCGGGGGCGGGGCCAGCAGTGTGTTCCGGCCCCGCCCCCGAGAAGCCCCTGCCACTCCGTGCTGCTGCCTCTTTATCAGAGGCAGCAGTGTGAGGTGCCAGGCAGGAGCTGGTCCAGGAGGGGAGCCAGTTTGAAAACAAGCTCCCCTTGCAGACTGGCTGGCTGTCGCCCCATGCTGCTGCCTCTGATATAGAGGCAGCAGTGCAGAGTGGCAGGGGACTCTTCAGGAGTGGGGCTGGAGCACACTGTCAGCACCCGGCACGAGCCAGAACTGAGCTGGGCTGCCTGTCCACCTGGCTCCTAATACACTTTAAAGGCAGAGCCGCAGCGGGGTTAGATCCCAGCCCTATTGCTGAGCCGGGCTGCTGGCCAGCCTGCTAAAAGATGTACTTGCAAGGGGGTGGGGTATGCGTGTAGGCTAAAGCATTAACCAATAAGCTTTTGCCTCTCGGTTCATCGACTGCACTATTACATCCCTACTGCAAAACTGACAGGCATGTAAAGGGCCTCCTCCCCACCGCCACGGAAGGATACTGAAAGACTTGCACACCACGGTTTCCAGGTCATACAGGCAGCTGCAGAGTTCTCTGGGGTCAGAGGTGAAACCGGAGAGCTAAGAGACAAGACAAAGGACGTTAATGGAAAGCAACAGTTTCTCTCTGGAATCACACCAGGAGGGAGAAATATTAGCGTGCAGGGCCTAGCACAACAGGATCCCCGCTGTCCCAAAGGATTGCCTTGGGCTGTTCCCGTGGATTTTCGATGACGAATAAAGAAGGCCTTTCAGGGGCAATGGGGGGGAAGTTGAAATCCCTGTTTTCAATTCTCTCTGCAAGTTAGGAATTCGGGGCTCGTCTCCTGTTTCTCCTGGAAGCCCTCACTGGTGGGACTGCAAGGCCCCCGGGGGGTGTGTGTGTGTGGGGGGGGGGAACAGTACTCACCCAGGTGGCATCGTTGTTCACCACCAGCAGCGCGAACTCGTGGCATTTGTCGATCTTGTGCTTCGTCCTCACGAACATCTCGATCATCTTCTGGGAGATGTTCAGGGCGTTGGTTTTGGATCTATGGCGCAAGCGAGGGAGCAGGTGCTGGCTGAGGCCTTTCCATCTCTCTCCTCCCCCAGCATCCGTCTCCTTTGAACACTGACCTGACTCCTGGAACCCTCCATCACCCCTCCCACCCCGGGGGCCTTGTCATCTAGAGAACTCCAAGTACTTGAAAAGAAGCAGGTCGGTCTCATTAGCCCCACTTCATAAATGGGGCAACTGAGGCTCAGAGAAGGGAAACGATTTCCCGAGTAGCAAAGGTGGGAACAGAACCCAGGTCTCCCGGCTCACAGGCCGGTGGCCTATCTGCTAGACTGGGATGGGAAAATACGGCCCCCGGGCCAGATCCAGCCCACAAAACATTCAAATCCAACCCACCATGGTATTCTGGGCCACCTATGTTCTATGGACCCTCGGGAAGACCCCTTAGCTACGGCGCCCCCAAGCGCCGCTTAAAACAGACGGCTGCTGGGGCAAACGTGTGCATCTCTGCGCAGCGCACGCCCCTTAGAGGGGTGTCCCTGTGTGCTGGCCCCCTCCCCCAACACAATCCTTGCCGCTCCCATTGGCCGAAAACTGGGCAATGTGAGCTGTCTGGGTCACGTAGAGGACCATCCTCCCTCCAAGGCCAGCTGCTTTGAAAGGCATGTGAGGGCACAGCAGACAGAGAGCCTGCCCACCTCCAATAAGCGCCTCCCAGACAGAGCCTACACCTGGCATCCCTGTTTGGACCTCAACTCTCTGCCCCAGGCCAGACCCTCTGCACCTGCCCCTGGTCACTATTCCCTTCCAGATCCTGTACCCATTCCTACAGCCCTGCTCCTGGTCAGAATCCTCTCCTGCAGCCTGGTCCCATACCCAGAGCTGCCTCCTGTACTCAACTTCCACCCCAGAGCCCGCACCTCTTCCAATGTTCCCTCTACGAGTTCCATTTATGTGCGGAACATGTTCCCTCTACGAGTTCCATTTATGTGTGGAACAAATTGTGTTCTGTGCACCAGAGCATGTGTGGATGTGCACCACCAATAGAAACACATGCTGCCGGCTGTGGGCAGCGGTGGGCGCTCTTCCAACCAGCTGAGCAGCATCTGAATTTCTCCTGGGTGGCCACCCAAGCGCTCAGCTTAGAGGGAGCGCTGACCTCCTCTGTTAATATCCTAGGCCGTGTCTTCACTTGGGGTCACGATTGATCTTTTGGAGTTTGATTTAGCAGGTCTAGTAAAGACCCGCTAAATCAAATTCAGAGGATGCCCCCGCCGGCAGCTGGTACGCCTGCTCCTGCAAGGAGCAAGGGACGCCAATGGGAGTGTTTGCTCCTGTCGACCTCCCGCTGTGGGAATGGTGGGGAAATTCAAATTACATAGAGTCCAGCTAGAAATTAAGGTAGCTAGAGCGGCGTATCTTAATTCGACCTTCCCCTTTAGTGTAGGCCTGGCCGCAGAAAAGTGCGGCCCCTGACTACATCCCAAATTCTTGGAGTGGCCGCACCATCAAAAATTATCCCCCTCCCGCCGAGCGAGGCTGTACGGATGGCAATCGCAACGGGCTGACGGACAGACGGACGCCACTCACCCGTTAAAGGACTCTAGTTTGGGCAGAGACATTTCCTCAGACAGGTCCAAGCAGATGATCTGCATGAAAGCAAAGGGCAGCGTTAGCATCTCAGATCGTTCCCGAGCCCACTGACCACTAGCCCTCGCTGCCCTGAGCGGCCACGTACGCGCACACACGGCCAAAGAGGGCTGCAGGGTTGGACCTCCCCCCAGCTAGCAGGGCTTTGGCGGAGAAGGCAGGAGACCCACCCTAGGGCCGGTGGGCTGGGGCGGGAGGCCGGCACTCACCACTTTCTCAGGACAGTTCACCCGGGGCGTCTTGACCTGGAACTCGGTGGCCTGCGCCGGGCCGGGCCAGTCTTTGCCGTTGGGCGCGGCCGTGCTCTGGGGGCTGTCAGCGGCGCTGCCCGCCTCCCCCTCCCCCTCGCTGCGGTTCCCCACGCTGGCCTGCACGCTCAGGGCTCGGTCCTCGGCCCCCTCCGGCTGATCAGGGAGCTGCGCTCCACGGGTGACTCCAGCTTGGCTGCAGCGACGGGCTCCCTGGGTCAGGCAGAGGGAGACACGGGGCTGGGTGCAGGGCGCTGCACGGACAACGCCGCCTGGCAAAGCCCTCCGGGGGCCGGCCGCCTTTCCCACCCCTCCCTCTG